CAAATGGGTCAGGGTAGCCTCCTGTGCCCTGAAACCCACAGGCCTAGTCAGTGTTTCCTCTGCTTTTGAAACTTTTTACCAGCAATTCAGGTCCATGGCCCCCAAATAGTGATTTCTTCCGTCCAGCCCTTGCACTTTGGCCTCCTTATTTAGGGTTCCACATTCGGGTAGCAATCCATTTATGCATCCTCACACATAATTACAGTCTACGTGTCCCTGGGTTTCCAATGACAGATCCTCGGGAGGTAGGGCTCATGCTCACAATTATAACCTTTCTGCCTCTCAGTATACCCCAGACTTTCCCTGTATTCTACAGCATTCACAACCTCAGTCTTTACCGCGGAAGGTGGCTCCAAAACATCATCGGAGGAAGAGACGCAGGGACAACAGGAAGTGGCAAAGGCTGCAGAACAGCACCAGTCTCCAATGATGGGCAAGGGAGAAAGAAGTCTAAGTAAGAAGAAGCATTCGGCCAAGAAGAGCAAAAGAAGTAAGCCTTCTGATGCCGAGGACAATTCAGAATAGCTTCCTGCTGCCCACCACCTGCTGGGTTCCGAGCGACCAGAATGACTGGATGGAGCATATGGGTCCTGTCAGGGGCTCAGGGACTGAGCCACAGGAGAAGGAGATGGAGAGCGAAGGGGAACAATCGGAGGGGAGCGCAGGAGGGTGTGACAGTGACCAGAGAGATTCCCTGAGTCTCTCCAGTGAATCAGAAGATTCCCAGAAGGAGGCCCCCAGGGTCAGGGCAAGGGGGGCCAGTGGGGAGTCGCCAAGCGGCAGCTGGAAATCAGGGGTAGCTTCCCCACCAGAGCGCAGCGGGGGGGGGGAAGAATCCCACAGATTAGAACAAAAGCTTCCTCCTGCAGGAGGAGGGAGTGAGGCAGGACTGACCACGCCTCCGTCAGAGAGTGGAGGGGGACGATCTCCGCGCAAAGGTTCTGCACCAGTTGCACGACGCACCCAGCGCGGGCCATTTCGGCAAGGAGAAGACAGCGGAACTGGTAGCCAGGGACTTTTGGTGGCCCCAAATGCGAGGAGAGGTCGCGGATTACGTCGCCAGATGTGACACCTGTCAGAGGTCCAAGCCAGTGCACCAGAAGCCAGCCGGACTACTGGAACCGCTGGAGACGCCACTGCAACCGTGGGAGCGGGTAGCGCTGGACTTTGTTACTGATCTGCCCAGCTCCCGAGGCAAGACGGCGGTACTGGTGGTGGTGGACCTGTTCACCAAGATGGCGCACTTCATTCCTTGCGCGAAGGTGGCGACAGCGGAACAGACCGCCAAACTCTTCATCGACCACGTGTTCAGAGTGCATGGGCTGCCACGGTCCATCCTGTCCGACAGGGGGCGCCAGTTTGTTTCCAGTTTCTGGCAGAAGCTCCTAGGTATCCTACACGTCAAGATCAACCTATCGTCGGCGAGACATCCACAGACCAACGGCCAAGCAGAGAGGGTCAACGCTATCATGCAGCAGTACCTGAGATGTTACGCCAATCAGCGACCCGCAGCTTGGGTGGATTACCTGCCGATGGCTGAGTTTGCCTACAACAACACGAAGCATGCGTCGACGGGGGTGACGCCGTTCTTCGCTAACAATGGACGACATCCCAGAACCTTCCCGGGGTTCGTAACGACGGGGGAGGGGGCGCCGCAGGGGGCCGACCATTTCGCAGCAGAACTGCAAGAGGTGCACGAGGAGCTGCGGAGACATTTGGAACTAGCTAAACAAGCCTATAAGGTGCAGGCGGACAAACACAGGAGGGCGGGAGAAGACATCCAGGTGGGGGACTGGGTATGGTTAGCGGCCCAAGCGGTGCCGGCCAAGTCGTTAGCTAAGAAGAAGCTAGGACACAGGCAGCTAGGGCCATACCAAGTTGAGGCCAGGATCAATCCCGTAGCGTTTCGACTGGCCCTCCCCGAAGGTTCCAGAATGCACCCGGTCTTTCATAGGTCGGTGCTCACCCCCTACAAGGCCCCACACAGATTTCAGGAGTCAGGGACGGCACCAGAACCACGCAGAGAGTCACCCAAGAGGGGGAGGTCACCTAGGGCCGAACCACTCAACGAGGTCACAGAGATTCTGGACTCGAGATGGGGGGAAGAGGGAGTAGAATATTTTCTCGCCAGAGAGGGTACCCCAGCCAGCGCCAACAGTTGGGTGCCGGACTACGCTTTGGACGAGCCTCTTCTCAAGGACGAGTTCCATGCCCTTTTCCCACACAGGCCCATGCCAGCCGAGTACTTTGACGACTGGCTTTTTACGCCCACACTTTCAGCCAGCACTTTCTGAGGGTTTTCTTCCGCGGAGGAGGGAACGCCAGAATCGAGCCCTCCCAGGGGATCGTGCTCGGGGGTGGAGACGGAACCCTCTTATTGGTGGGACGAGCAACCAGAGGAGGACTGGCGCAGGAGGTGGAGGGAGGGGCCTTGGCCAACAGCACCGGACGAAGTAACAATGGGAGAGGAGACCGAGAACACTTTGGGAGACGAACCCGAGTTCGAGCACACATACACTGAGCTGGAAGCAGAGGAAATCGAAGTAGACGAACTGTATCCAGCATCTACCCCCGCAGAGACGCGGCTCCCAAAACCTGCGCCCGACGGCAGCAGGGAAATCCCGAGTGGGAGTGGGAGATCGGGGCCGGCTTCCCCGCCGGAACGGAGTGAAGAGGGTGGAGTTCCCAGTGTGACAGACGAAGCAGAGCAGGAAGCAGAGAGGGGAAGGAGATCGGGGCAAGACGTCCTGCCGGAAGGGGCGGAGAGTAGTACAGAGAGTAGTGTAACTGTCAAGAGGAAGGTCAGAGGTAGCGAACGCGCGCCAAGTTCAAATGTGGAGGCTCGCGGAAATGCGGAGAGCCCGGAGGAGGAGCCTGGTCCCAAAGCACGGAGGAGGGGGGAGCAGGCGTCTGGGGACTCAGCGTCAGGGGAAAGCAGGAGGGAAGGAACCCAGGGGGGCAGAAAGACCCTGCGGAAAAGGAAGGACAGGAAGAGGTGGACCAGCAGAAGCCTCTTAAACTGGTGTGGAGGCGGGACTGATTCAGAGGGGACTTCAGCGGTCTAAGCGTAACAGACGTGGGGTTGCGCGCCTCGGCTGTGGAACAAACAATGTACTTCAATAAAGACTTTTGTAAATAAAGTGGACTTGGCATTGGTCTCTTGTGAGCTGGGACCTGAGGCGGCCCTGACAACACCTGTCAGGGCTGCCTCAGGTCCCAGCTCACAAGAGACCAACACCAAGTCCAGTTTATATACAAAGATGTTTATTGAAGTGCATTGTACATTCCACAGCCGAGGCGCGCAGCCCCACGTCTGTTACACTTAGACCGCTGAAGTCCCCTCTGAGTCAGTCCCGCCTCTGCACCACTTTAAGAGGCTTGTGCTGCTCCACCTCTTCCTTTCTTTCCTTTTCCGCAGGGTCTTCCTGCCCCCTGGGGTTTCGCCCCTCCTGGATTCCCCTGACGCGGAATCCCCAGACAGCTCTTCCCCCCTCCTGCGTGCTTTGGGACCTGGCTCCTCCTCCGGGCTCTCCGCATTTCCGCGAGCCTCCACATTTGAACTTGGCGCGCGTTCGCAACCTCTAACCTTCCTCTTGACAGTTACACTACTCCCTGCACTACTCTCCTCCCCTTCCGGGAGGATGTCTTGCTCCGATCTCCCCTCCCTCTCTGCTTTCGGACCTGCTTCCCCTGTCACTCTGGAATCTCCACCCCCTTCACTGCGCTCTGGTGGAGAAGCCGGTCCCGACTCCCAGCTCCCACTCTGGGTTCCCCCGCTGGTCCCCTGCTCCTGACGAGTCCCCCCTGTGACTCCCCTTGGCCTGACCACAGGCGCCCCCTTCTGGGAATCCTCCGACTCACTTGAAAGACTCATGGAATCCCTCAAGTTATCGTCATCCTCTTCCTCGCTGCCCTGGGATTCTTCCCCCTCGCTCTCTGCCTCCTCCCTCACCTGTGCCTCTGTCCCTGAACCCCTGACAACACCAAACTGGGAGGGGTGGCCAACACCCCAGAGGACAGGATCACACTTCAAAACGACCTTGACAGATTAGAGAACTGGGCCAAAACAAACAAGATGAACTTTAACAGGGAGAAATGTAAAGTATTGCACTTGGGCAAAAAAAATGAGAGGCACAAATACAAGATGGGGGACACCTGGCTTGAGAGCAGTACATGTGAAAAGGATCTAGGAGTCTTGGTTGACCACAAACTTGACATGAGCCAACAGTGTGACGCGGCAGCTAAAAAAGCCAATGCAATTCTGGGCTGCATCAATAGGAGTAGAGCATCTAGATCAAGGGAAGTAATAGTGCCACTGTATTCTGCTCTGGTCAGACCTTACCTGGAGTACTGTGTCCAGTTCTGGGCACCACAGTTCAAGAAGGACACTGACAAACTGGAACGTGTCCAGAGGAGGGCAACCTAAATGGTCAAAGGCCTGGAAATGATGCCTTATGAGGAACGGCTAAGAGAGCTGGGCATGTTTAGCCTGGAGAAGAGGAGGTTAAGGGGTGATATGATAGCCATGTTCAAATATATAAAAGGATGTCATATAGAGGAGGGAGAAAGGTTGTTTTCTGCTGCTCCAGAGAAGCAGACACGGAGCAATGGATTCAAACTACAAGAAAGAAGATTCCACCTAAACATTAGGAAGAACTTCCTGACAGTAAGAGCTGTTCGACAGTGGAATTTGCTGCCAAGGAGTGTGGTGGAGTCTCCTTCTTTGGAGGTCTTTAAGCAGAGGCTTGACAACCATATGTCAGGAGTGCTCTGATGGTGTTTCCTGCTTGGCAGGGGGTTGGACTCGATGGCCCTTGTGGTCTATTCCAACTCTATGATTCTATGATTCTATAATTTGTAAATCACATTTGCACCCCCAACCCCCCACTCCGGTTTTAGCCTTATTCACTTATTTGGTCTTCTGTTCTTGCTCACATACAATGTGGTATCTGGCCACCCTACTACAAAGTAGTACTACAAAATCACACATTACAAAGATCACTAATTTTCTATACTGTGTATAGAGATTTATTTATTTGGAACATTTGTGCCTCGCTGTTCAGCCAACAAGGCCACCAGACAACTTAAATGCAATCAAAGCAAGATGGTCCCTACCCACAGGCAAAGGGGGCAGGGAGGGAAGAGGAATATCAAATCTCAGTCACAAATCACTAAACAGTTGTTCCTATGTTGACCAGCTGGCACAGTTCAGGGGCTGGAGGTGCCTGAAGGAGCTGGACCTCCAGCAAAGCTCTCCCACTGATGGCTGCCCCAGATAACAGTTGTGGGGAGAGGAGGCCTGAGGGAGCTGTCCTGTCACAGCAGAGCCAGGGGAGGGAGCTCTGCTTCACAGCTCTCACGGAAGTACTGTAGTTTGGATACTACGGGCTCCTCTGCAAAGCTGAAAGCAATTGCTCTGTGAAATAAATAAAAAATTCAGTGTGTAGAAATCCTTTCACTATGTGTCTGTTTTGTATTTAAAGCTTCACAGCCTAATCAGCATGCTACAAGTCTTTCATAACATTATTGATATAAGTAAAGAAACATCTCATGTGGGAAAAATAGACACAATGTTTCCTTAAGAATTAAAAATTCCAGCACTCTCCATATGCAGCAGAATGAGGTGGCCAAATGGACCATACTACCTCAAGCTACAGGTGAGGAATAACACTTCTATGCGTAAAAACCAAAGCCTAGCACATCATAGAGAAGGTACTTGTCAATTAAAAAAGCTAGCCTTTCCCCTGCTTTGCTGGCTTTCTAGTTGCAGGGAACTTTTAGTGTGTGAAAGCAATTTTCCATTGCTGCTCTTGCAGTTTATTTGACAGTTTCAGATGGCTTTGTGCTGTTGTAAACAAAATCTGCCCTTATTCCTTTATGTATTGGAGAACCTTGTAGGTTCTCCATCGGTAGGAGAAAATAACAGAGGCCAACCAGAGAATATTGAGAAGCAAAGCAGCTAGTAAGCCTGATCTTTATTAAACTGTTGCAACAGGGTGCTCCACCCACACACAGGAGAGAGGAGGAGGACCGCAAACAATGTGTGCTTGCCATTTTGAAATTCCCTGCCCTGGAGCTCAAGACCACCCCCACAAACATCATACCTACATCACAGAAAAGGAAAATTTCTACAATGGAAATTTGAATGTTGTTTTTCCTGTCTGCCAGGTTATCTGATAATGCCTTATCTGATTGCCTTTCCTGGTAGTCTGGCCATTCCTTTGAGATGGTAATTACCCAATTCCTGAGACAATGGGAAGCAAAGACAGACCACTGAATACGTAACAGTGAAAATACATTATTCCTTTCCACTTGGGATAATCTTGCCATAAATGCCCAAAACTAGCCTGACTAAGGAGTGGTGGAGAGGTATAATTCTGAATATTCAATAATTCTATAACATTTGCAGTATCAGATTGAGGTCTGCTGCTTCACATCAACAACCTGAAAGGATTTACTCCATGACTTTATACTTTCCTTAATGGTAAATATTAAGTAGGGTAGACAAATTGCAACATTGAGCTATTGTAGTTCCCATGCCAATATTGTAGTTCCCCATTTCAAATTCCTTCTTGCTCCCTGTCAGTGGAGGCTCGTCCTTAAGGGGGACTGGGGCACTGCTCCACCAAGCTCAATTGTTTCTTGGCTGTCCTCCAACAGCCTGCTTCTTTCTTACATCCTCTCTAGGGTTGGCATGAGCAGTGAGCTCCTTCCTCCTCAGTCTCAGGGCTGCCTTTGCAGATCTCAACAAGGGGGGAGGGGCATGCCCCACATGCCCCTGTCCAGGGGAGGAGAGGGGCAGGGAAGCTGCTGCTCAGGCTCCTTGAGTGCGCCAGGTCAGACATGACCCGGAGGCGGAGCTGCTGCTGTGACTGGTAGCGAGGTGCACTGCAGCCACCCACCCTCCTGCTCTCTTCCCTGGGTCAGGCCTAACCTAAGGACAGAGCTGTGGCCAGCAGAAGCACAGCAGCTTAGGTCAGCTCCTTCTCACGTGGAGCCAGGCACCAATGAGGGAGCCTGCTGTGGGGGCACCTGCTTGTGCCCCCTGACACAAATTTGTGCCCCCACGGCCCACACATGCTACACTTCTGGGTGGGGACAAAACCAGAGTTACTGTAGTTGGCTTCATCCATGGGCGTAGCCAGGATTTTTGTTAGTGGAGGCAGGCCTTTTGTTAGGGGGTCAGAACCTCAGTTAGCTATGTATTTTTATTTAGTTGGCCCCCCTTGGCCACATCCATGGCTCCATCTATCATAACATTTTGGAAATGCCCTGACCCACCCACCCCAACACTGATGTTGATTTTCTGAGATATCAGGCGCTCAAGCACAAGTCAAACATAAAGAATCGCTGCTGTTTCTTTTTGTGTAGCCTGTTTAGACTGGAAATTTGCCTCAGTTTTTTATTCTCTAAGGAAGGTTCTGTAAAGTGCAGGATAATGTAGTAGCTCACAGCATGGCAGGATGATCCCAAGAAGCTCAGTTAGTTGGGGACATGGGCATAGCCAGGGGGTGAAGAGGCCACCCCTAAATCAAGTAAATAAATAAAAATACAGAGAGTCTGATATTCCAGATGCAATCACACTTCTTCCTTAGAGCAGCCTCCTATTCATTTATTTCTTGTTGAAAGATAAAGAAGTTGTCAGGGGTTCAGGGAGAGAGGCACAGATGAGGGAGGAGACTGAGAGCGAGGGGGAAGAATCCCGGAACGAGGAGGAGGAGGATGACAATGACTTGAGGGTTTCCATGAGTCTTTCAAGTGAATCGGAGGATTCCCAAAAGGGGGCGCCCCTGGTCAGGCCAAGGGGAGTCACAGGGGGGACTCGTCAGGAGCAGGGGAGCAGCAGGGGAACCCCGAGTGGGAGTTGGAGATCGGGGCCGGCTTCCCCGCCGGAACGGAGTGAAGAGGGTGGAGTTCCCAGTGTGACAGACGAAGCAGAGCAGGAAGCAGAGAGGGGAAGGAGATCGGGGCAAGACGTCCTGCCGGAAGGGGCGGAGAGTAGTACAGAGAGTAGTGTCAAGAGGAAGGTCAGAGGTAGCTGTCAGGGGCTCAGGAGCAGAGGCACAGGAGAGGGAGGAAATAGAGACCGAGGGGGAGGAATCTGAAGGAAATGTTAGCGATGACAGCCGTCCGAGGTCTCTGAGTCTCTCCAGCGACTCGGAGGATTCACAGAAAGGGGCTCCCATGGTCAGAGCAAGGGGGGTGCCTAGGGGGACACCCCAGGAAGAAGGGGCAAGAGGGGACTCAGAGAGCAGCAGTTGGAAATCAGGACCAGCTTCTCCACCAGAGCGCAGTAGGGGGGAGGAGTCCCAGGCATCGGGATCAGGCGGCGCACCGCCAGCGGGAGGACATGAGTCAGGATTGGCCACACCTCCATCGGAGAGCGAGGAAACGGTCAAAAGGAAGGTCGGAGACTGGGCGCGCGCGCCAAGTTCAAATGTACAAGAGGGCGGCGCAGTGGGCAGCCCGGATAGGGAGCCAGGTCCTAAAGCCCGCCGAAAGGAGGGAGGAGACTCAGGGGGGTCAGCGTCAGCGTCAGAAGAGTCCAGGACTGAAGGGACCCCGGGGGGGTAGAAGGACCCAGAGGAGAAAGGAGAGACGGAAGAGGTGGAGTAAGGTTAGAGTCTTAAACTGGTGTACAGGGGGCGGAGACTCAGATGGAGCTTTGCCGGTCTAGCTCTAAGACGTAGAGCTGGGGCGCTCCGGTTTGGAAATGGAAACTGTACTTCAATAAAGACTTTTGTACATTACTACCGGCTAGCGTTGGTCCTCTGTGAGCTGGGACCTGGAGCCAGCTCTGACAGTAGCGAACGCGCGCCAAGTTCAAATGTGGAGGCGCGCGGAAATGCGGAGAGCCCGGAGGAGGAGCCTGGTCCCAAAGCACGCAGGAGGGGGGAGCAGGCGTCTGGGGACTCAGGGTCAGGGGAATCCAGGAGGGGAGGAACCCAGGGGGGCAGAAAGACCCTGTGGAAAAGGAAGGACAGGAAGAGGTGGACCAGCACAAGCCTCTTAAACTGGTGTAGAGACGGGACTGATTCAGAGGGGACTTCAGCGGTCTAAGCGTAACAGACGTGGGGCTGCGCGCCTCGGCTGTGGAACAAACAATGTACTTCAATAAAGACTTTTGTAAATAAAGTGGACTTGGCGTTGGTCTCTTGTGAGCTGGGACCTGAGGCGGCCCTGACAGAAGTGTTTTTCAGAAACTAGCAACAACCTTATATATCAAGAAGACACATGTAGTTCATAGTAACTGTCTTTCAGGGCAGTTTGTCTAGGAACAAAAGCAAGTGTTGCTATGAACACTGACTAGTCACTAGAATAATAAGATGAAAGCTGGAGGTGGGGTTCGGGGTGGGGTTAGTCTTTCTTTAAACAAAGATGTAAGTACTGTATGGATGCCAAGCAGAAGAAGAAGACAAGCGTTTCTGTGGGGGAGGGAGTTTATTGACTGCTCAGATATAAGACTCACAACATCATTTTATAACCAAAGAAAGTGCCTTTATGTGACCATTAAATCAAATCAACTGGAATTACCGGTATATTCACAGAAAGCCTTTAGCAGAATCATTTCCTGTCCTCGGAATCCAACTGGATAATCAAAAAGGCCAGTAAGTTACTGTGAGACAAACAGAGGAAGCTGTGTTCCTTTTCAAATCTGTCTGTCAACAGTCACACACACCAAGCAAAAGCCACCCATAACAGACGTTTTCCTTGATAAATGGGAGAACTGTCTGATAATCAACAACCATATAATTTTATCCAGTAGTATTAGTTTGATCTGACGGAAACTGCACATTTCCCGAGAAGCACTGAAAGAATGCTTCATTTAACTACAAACCCCCAAATCTGGGATCCCATCAAAACTAATGTTTGGTAAAAGTTTTGCAGCAAAACCCCCACATTTTGTAACACCCCATAAACAGAGTAATTGATACATCAAACCGGGGTTCATAATTAATATCAAAAACCCATCATTGTCACTCCAAACTGGTGCCAAAGTCTGGCAAAAGTTTTGTAGCATTTTGCCAGACATTGTAGAATTTTTTTAGCATTTTGCCCGACAAACCAAGTAAGTGACAGGGGTCATAAGGTCACCCCAAAACCCAACATCGCCTGATTCACTCCAAATCAAGGCCAAAGTCTGGCAAAATGTTTGCAGTAAAAACCGCATGTTTTGCAGTGCCCCCCAAACGGAGTGGTTCCTAGCACATCAGGAGGAAGAGTCAAGACAACCAAAAGTGGATAAATAGGTTGTATTTATTAAATATAACAACTTGAGGATCGGCAAAACTAGTCAGATTCGACCAATGTAACCAAATCAAATTGTCTGGGCAGGTGTGCTTGTTCACCTCCACCCACAAACACACAAGTGCTCAAACAGAGCTCTTTGCAGATCCTTAAGAACCCAACCCAAATCAGAAAGATGTCACAACCCAAATCAGAAAGATGCATACCACCAGGTCTATACAACTGTTGGGCACAGAACATAATTCTGCCATGAGGGATATAAGCACCCACATTTTCAAACACAAACATCGTTGTAGAATGATTAGCTTTGTGTCTTGCCCATCCACCTTCTTAGGAAGGCTGCCCCCACTCCATAAGCACCTCTACAACATTCCAAACCAAACTATGATAAGCTCAGGGATGAGGAAGCACAGCTGATGGAGATATTTAGTGATCTCAACTGAATTTACCTCACCAGATTGTTATCCCCAAGATGGATGACCAGAATGTCAGGGTTAGGGTTAGGGCTAGGGCAGGGGATAGGTGGACGTTCAGGGTTAGGGTTAGTGTCTGGGGGTTTTTTTCCATGCTTTTTAAGCTTCTAATGATATTGCTTCATTTTTATGAGACTGGATAATTCCCAAAAGTAAGCAAACTACCTGAAACGTAGCAAAACGTAGAAATGTTGTCAGGGGCTCAGGAGCAGAGGCACAGGGGAGAGAGGAAATGGAGAGCGAAGGGGAGGAATCTGAGGGCAGCGGAGGGCAGAATGACAGTGACCCGAGAGATTCCATGAGTCTCTCCAGTGAATCAGAAGATTCCCAGAAGGGGGCGCCAATGGCCAGGGCAAGGGGGGTCCCAGGGGGGACACACCAGAAGCAGGGGGCCAGCGGAGACTCCCAGAGCAGTAGCTGGAAATCAGGACCAGCTTCCCCACCGGAGCGTAGTGGGGGGGGAAGAGTCCCATAGGTCAGGGCCAACGTCTCCTCCAGCAAGCAGGGAGGAGGAGTCAAGCCCAGCTAGCATTCCCGAAGAGGGGAGCAGTGACAGGAGCAGCATAACGGTCAGAAGGAAGGTGGCAGGCTGGGCGCGCGCGCCATGTTCAAATGTGCAGGCGAGCGGGACAGCAGGAAACCAGGATTGGGAACCAGGTCCTAAAGCTCGCCGGAGGGAGGGGGAGGACTCGGGAGAGTCAGCGTCGGAAGAGTCTAGAAAGGGGAAAGCCCCGACGGACAGGCGGACCCAGAGGAAAAGGGAGCAGAGGAAGAGGTGGAGCAAGGCTAGGGTCTTGAACTGGTGCCTGGGGGAGGAGATTCAGATGGAGCTTCGGCGGTCTAGGTTCAAGACGTAGAGCTGCGTGCCGTGGCTGTAAATGAGAGACTGAACTTTAATAAAGACTATTTAATATAACAACGGACTGGCGTTGGTCCTCTGTGAGCTGGGACCTGAGGCAGCCCTGACAAATGTGAAAACCAAAAGTGAGTGTCAGGGGTTCAGGAGCAGAGGCAAGGGCAAGGGAGGAAACAGAGAGCGAGGGGGAGGAGGCAGAAGAAAAGATGAGTGATGACGACGACCCGAGATCTCCGAGTCTTTCCAGTGAATCAGAAGATTCACAGAAAGGAGCACCAGTGGCCAGGGCAAGGGGGGAGCCTAGGGGGACACCCCAGGAAGAAAGGGCCAGAGGGGGCTCAGAGGGGAGCAGTGGGAGATCGGGACCAGCGTCACCCACAGAGAGCAGGGGAGAGGAAGGGCGCCAGGTATCAAGCGCTGGAAGCTCACAACAGGAGGGAGGGCACGAGTCAGGAGTGGCCACACCTCCATCAGGGAGCGAAGAAACGGTCAGACGGAAAGTGGAAGGTTGGGCGCGCGCGCCAAGTTCAAATGCACAGGAAGGTGGCGCAGTAAGCAGCCCGGAAAGGGAGCCAGGTCCTAAAGCCCGGCGCAAGGAGACAGGAGGGTCCGGGGGGGTCAGCGTCAGAAGAATCCCGGAAGGAAGTTGGTGTACGAGGGGCGGAGACTCAGACAGAGCTTCGCCGGTCTAACCCTTAAGACGTAGAGTTGCGCGCAGCAGCTTGAGAATGGAAACTGTAACTCAATAAAAGACTTTTACAAGTGACCGCTGGCTAGCATGATCCTCTGTGAGCTAGGATCTGGAAGCAGCTCTGACAGTGAGATACCAGAAACCCAACAAGGAAGGAATCATGAAAAAGGAAAATTGCCAGACAGAGACTTCAATCAAATCATTACCAAATTCACCAGAATCCCAAAACCAATTGAAAAGAAGCAGAAATGTGAGAAGCAGAAGAAATACCACCAGAAACCCCCAACAAGAGGGAAAAAGTAAATTGCGCAGAAACCCCAAAGCCAGTTAAACCTTAGTTTTGCATGGTGTGGGGTGATTTCGCTTTTCCCTGAGATGTTTACTGCGTGGGTTTCTTGTGGCTCTATTCAATTGGTTTTCTCATCTTTTGTGGATGTGGTTTGTTTCTGTTGTTTCTTGTTTGTTTTTGGGATTATGTTGAATTTTTTCTGTGGTTTTCGTTTCATAGATTATTTTATATAAATTACGATTGTGAAATATACTCAGAGTCTTGTATGTATTTCATGCTCTTTATTGCCCCCCCAACCTCATGCTTTTATATACATTATTTACACAATGAGTACCGTCTGACTGGCTAACTCTGCTTCCCTCTTGGAGCCTGATTGGCCTGCAGGAAAAGACCAATCTGTTGTTGCATTCTAGGATCCAAGGTTAGTGAGTTTGCTTCCTTTCTAGGTTTTTTGGGTTTTGCACCTTTGAGAATATTAATTTGTATGAGATCTGATAATCCCAAGAATAAAAGCAAAACCACCAGAAATGACCATTCCAACAATGAAGTCAACCACTAAAAACACAAAAACCTACTGAAAAGAAGCAGAAGAACCATGTAAAAGCAACATCAGTGGAAACTGGCAAAGAAGCCAACTAAAATCCCAAACAAAGCAGATTCACCAGAAACCCCCAAAGCATTCAAAAGTATTACCACCAGAATGCAAAAACAAGAAAACTTCTCAAAAGAAGCAATAAAGCAAAAGTCCAAAAAACAAGCTAAACCAATGGAAAAGAAATGAAGCCAGCTGCAAACGAAGCACATTCACCAGAAACCCAAGACTAAGTGAAAACTAGTATGCTATGTTGGTTAATTTCTGTTGCTTGAAGTGCTTTTGGACTCCCCATAAATTGCATGCTTGTTGAGTTTCTGGTTTTGCTTTTAAAAACTGGTTTTCCCAGTTTCTTGTGGCCTTGCTTTGTATTGGTGGCTTTACTGCTTCTTTTTGTTTTCTGCTGGTTTGTTTTAATTTGGGTGGTTTTGCTTTTTTTTTTTTTTGCATTTAATTGTTTTGCTTCTTTACTTTGAATGGTTCTGCGGTTGCTTTGGGGTGAGATTGTTTCTTTTCCATTGATTTGGCTTGGTTTTCATGTCTCCTGGTTTTGCCTCATTTTGGGAATATTTCTTGGTTTTTTGTGCTTCTGGTGGTATTCTTCAATTTTATGACATAACCAAGCCAAAACACCAGAAACACAGAAACAAATCATAAAGAAGCAGAGGGTTACAGTGAGAGTTGGGTTTGAGTTAGAATAGGATTAGGAGTTAGAGTTGGGGTTGAGTTACGGTAAGAGAAGAACAGCAGAAGGAGAAATTTAATTTTATTACTTAGGGTTAGGGTTAAATTAGCAATATAATTTTATTATTTATACTCCACCCAAGTCACTAGTGGCCGCTTTCAATAAAAGGTAAAAACATTGAGCGCACTCTAAGTGAATGCTCATGAATGTAGAAACTCTTACTTCCCATAGGATTCCCAAAGACCTGGGAATTGTAGCTCTGAGCTTCTTTGCAGAGGGTTGGACTAGATTGACCCTTGGGTTCCCCTTCCATCTCTACTAGGATGCTCCCTGTCTCACTCTCACTCACACACTCCTCCTCTCCTTTTCATGGCAGTTTCACCTTTTTCTGCACTCCCTAGTACGGAAGGGCGGAAGAGGCTGTGCTGCCGCCATGTTGGGCGAGGGCACGGGGTACCGGAAGGACGTGCCACCGGAGGAGAGGCATGAGCACAGGAAGGGAATGGGAAACGGGCGGAAGAGCTGTGCTGCCGCCATGTTGGGCGAGGGCACGGGGTACCCGGAAGAAGGTGCCACCGGAGGAGAGGCAAGAGGACAGGAAGGGGAGAAGAAAAGGGCGGAAGAGGCTGTGCTGCCAGCCATGTTTGGCGAGGTAGGATTACCGGAAGGAGGTGCCAAGCGGAGGAGAGGCATGAAGCACAGGAAGGGGAGGGGAAAGAAAGCGGAAGAGGCTGTACTGCCCGCCGCCATGTTTGGCGAGGGTAGGATTACCGGAAAGAGGGTGCCCAGCGGAGGAGAGGCAAGAGGACAGGAAGGGGGAGGGGAAAGAGCGGAAGAGGCTGTGCTGCCGCCATGTTTGGCGAGGGTAGGATTACCGGAAGGAGGTGCCAGCGGAGGAAGCAAGAGGAGAGACAGGAAGGGGAGAGGAAAGGGCGGAAGAGGCTGTGCTG